TGGAACCCTTGCTATAGTTTTATACTTTGATCTTCTCAAATGCTATGTTCAGACAGTACAATGTTATTTCCTAACTTCATTCTTTAATTTGCAACAGGTGACACATGGCATGACCGACGAGAGGATGCTCTTCTTTTAGAAAACACTGATGTTGTGGGCATACACAAGCGTAAAAAGAAACTTGTCAGGATGCTGGTCGAGGGTGGCTCTGGACTTGAAGTAGTTTCAGTCACTGGCATGGGAGGTATGGGGAAGACCACCTTGGTGAAGAAAGTCTACGATGATGATGAAGTGAAGAAACATTTCAAGCCCCGTGCTTGGATCACGGTTTCTCAATCTTTTCGGGTAGAGGATCTCCTTAAAGACATTATTCACAAACTCTTTGATGCAATCAGGAGGCCAGTTCCAGAAGGTGTGCACGACAAGAATAGCAATGAATTGAAAGCAATAATTAAGAAATTTCTGCAGAAAAGGAGGTACCTGATTGTTCTTGATGATGTATGGCACGCTGACAAATGGGAAACTGTCAAATATGCTCTGCCCAAAGGGAAGTTTGGCAGCAGAATCATGCTCACTACGCGTAATGCTGTATTCACCACTTGCTCGGAATCCAAAAGCAAGGTCTATCACTTGAAGCCCTTGCCTGCTGACGAGTCCTGGAAGCTGTTCATTAAGAAGGCATTTCTGGGGAAGCCATGTCCTCCTTATTTGGTGGAAAGATGTCAAGGTATCGTGAAAAGGTGTGAGGGCTTGCCCCTTGCAATTGTGGCAATAAGTGGGGTACTGGCTACAAAAGACAAGCGCAGGATAGATGAATGGGATTTCATTTGCCGCAGTCTTGGAGCTGAACTTCATGGCAATAACAAACTTGAAGATTTAAAGAAAGTACTTTCTCTGAGTTTTAATGATTTGCCCTATTATCTCAAGGCTTGCTTCCTATACTTGAGCCTCTTTCCCGAGGGTCATCTGATTCGGCGTATGAGACTGATTCGCTTATGGATAGCGGAAGGATTTGTCGAAGCTATAGAAGGAAGAACTTTGGAGGAAGTAGCTGAGGACTACCTCAAGGAGCTCTTGAACAGAAATTTGATCCTGGTGGGAGACACCACTAGTGATGGGAGGGTCAAAACTTATCGGCTTCATGGCCTTTTGCGGGAGATTATTATTTCAAAGTCAAGGGATCAAAACTTTGCAGCCATAGTCAAAGACCAGAACACAATATGGCCTGATAGAGTTCGTCGTCTGTCAATACATAATGCATTGGACACTGTACAAGAAAAAAGGTCAGTTCCTCAACTTCGTTCCTTGTTTATGTTTGGGGCGGTTGCTAGGTCATCCATGAGAAAGTATTTTGCCACTGGGTTTAGGCTGCTTGGGGTTTTAGATTTGGAAGCTGCACCTTTAAAGAAATTTCCAAGGGAAATCCTGGACCTGTTTTATTTAAAGTATCTAAGCTTGAGGAAAACCCAGGTTAAATTCATTCCAAGAAGCATAGGGAATCTTAGTAACCTGGAGACGTTGGATCTCAAAAAGACCAATGTCACTGAATTGCCTCTTGAGATACTGAAGCTCCAAAAACTTCGCCATCTCCTGGTTTATCGTCTTAAGAATGAATCTTATGCACACTTCTATTCCAAGTTTGGCTTCTCGGCGCTTTCAAACATAGGAGAATTGCAGTCCCTGCAAAAGCTCTGCTTTATAGAGGCAAATGATCAGAGTTGTGGGATGACAATGAGGGAGTTAGGTAAGCTTAAGCAATTGAGGAGGCTTGGAATTATGAAATTGAGAAAACAAGATGGATTGGCTTTGTGCTTGTCAATTGAAAGTTTAACCAAGCTGCGTGCGCTTTCTGTAACATCAACGGGAGAGAGTGAGGTTATTGATCTCCATCACATTTCTTCCCCTCCTCAGTTCCTCGAACGCCTATACTTGATAGGACGATTGGAAGAAATGCCGAACTGGATACCTTCACTTAACAGTTTGGCCAGACTGTTTTTGAAATGGAGTCAGTTGGAAGATGATCCACTCGTACATCTTCAAGACCTGCCCAACCTTATTCATCTTGAATTGCTCCATGCTTGTGATAGCGACATGTTATCCTTCAATGGAAGGGGATTCAAAAAGCTCAAGGTCTTGGGTCTCGACAAATTTGACAAGCTCCAATGCGTGAAGGTGGAGGAGGGAGCAATGCCATGCCTTGAGAAGCTAACTATCCAACGATGCAAGTCGATGAAGAGGGTACCCTCGGGAGTGAAGCACCTTACCAAACTGAAGTTACTTGAATTCTTTGAAATGCCGAATGAATTAATCTTGAAACTGCGACCAGATGGAGAAGGCGAAGATTATGAGGAAGTTCAACATATCCCAGATGTTTATTCAGCCTATTGGAGAGATGGGGGCTGGGATGTGTATTCAATAGAGAGCTTCGGGGAGATAGAAAATGCTCCTGTCCGGAGAAGACATGATCAGCTTCGTCCTCTATGGAAGGTTTAAATCCGATCGATGATACTTTGTATTTGTATATATGTGGATATATATGTCGTGTGTAAAATTGTAAATAGTCATTGTACGTAATGTGCAAGCAAGTCACTCAATGTACAGATGAATTACTGTTGCAAATATTTGCAACTCATATATGTAACTTACTGAAGAATAAGGTGCAGTATTTGGGCACCAACATTTGTACATATACAGAAATGAATGGAAACTCTTTGTGCATAGGAAAATGATTGTGCTCGGTCACTCTAAACTACCCAATATGGCATCCAGTTCCAGTGAATTTCTGTAATGTTGAGGAGCCATTTCCGATCGGCAAACCCGCAGCGAAAACGAGGAAGAAAATACAACTGCACTGCAGTTTACCTTCTGTGATGACCTAAGATTTCTGAAGAAGTAGATGAAATGAATGAGAGCTTGAGGATGATCAAGTAGAAGGAAAGGTGTAAGTGAAACGAAATGATCAAGTAGCTGAAGAGTTCTAAAATTATGTGTCACCCCTTCATAAGCTAGTTGTCCTAGCTTGTCCAGTTGCAGGGTAGCGTACATGAACATGGCGGTTTAGTAGTATGGTATAGTGATATTCTTCTTCGTTTGTAAGTGAGAGACTTTAGGTTTTTAGGTTCGATTCTCGTAGATGAAGAAAGAAAGCCTGTGTTGCAGCTCACTCATCTTCTAGAATTAAGGTCATTGACTTATTTAGGATTTGATGTCACGCATGACATACATAATAACTTCAACATCAGGATGGATGACTACCTTAAGTTTAATTTATGAGGAATGATAGCAACCTTTTCGTTCTACTTTCTTGGCTCTCCTTTTTATCCTGCAATATTGCTTGATGATCGGAACCGTCTACTTTGGAGATCACCCTTTACAGACCATCTATGCAAAAAATTAACTAAATTCGAAATGAACGAACCATGTTTCTCACTTAAACACTAAAAATTGATGATGTTAATCAAGCGGTTAAAGGATTTTTTATTGTGCTATTTTTTTGCAAAGTTGGTACTTAAAGGGTGATCTAAAAAGAGGACTATTCCGATCATCAATCAATATTATAAAATGAGTAAAAGAGTGGAAAAAGTGAAACGAAAAAGTTCAAGTATTTCAACGAATAAGACCTTAACTTATTGATTAATTTCTTAATTTATTTTCTGACGGTTACAAGATAAATCTAAACTTTCGTAAGTTAACCGGGCAAACAAGTTAATGTAAATGCTTATATTATTTTGGTTCTCTGTATCAATCTTCTTAATTTACTTGTCAAGAATGGTTATGATGTAAGGCATCATATATATATAATATAATTCTGTTAGTTTGGTACATAGCATAAGGTCAGCATTGAGCTTGGATAAACATGAACATTTTGCTTTGCCTACTCACACATAGTTGTCTTCCTTATCCTTATGCACTGCCTCGGAATGATATATTTACGCTAATTTCGTAAATTAACCGCGCAGACAAGTTGATATAAATGCTAATATTAATTTGGTTCTCTATCAATCTTCTTAATTTACTTGTCAACAATGGTTATGAAGTAAGGCGTTAAATATATACACATATACAAAGACTTATAAGAGAAGGCATCCATTTTTTTAAAAAATTAGAGATTAGTTTTGAAATCCATTCCATATCGAATTTCAACGATCCGAATCGTTTATTTTGTAAGTCTCGTAAATCATCTATGCAAAAATTCAATTCATTTTGAAACTATTTGCTCATTTAATTGTCACGGTGAAATTTCAATGTTTCTCGAACATAGTGTTTGCCAATTTCTTTGAACTCAATTAGTTGTCTCAAATATTTCAGATTTAACTAATACTTTACAATGATCATCTATGAAGTGTGTTGATACACAAAACCGGAGGTCTTGGAACAACGTAAATCCGACCGTGAATCTGCAAGTAATGTAAATAACACAAGATGTATCGTGATTCACCACAATGTTTGGGTTACGTCCACACTGATTATTGTATTTATGTGAGAGGCGAGGGAGAGAGATGGAGAGAGCTTCTGAGGGTGAGAGAGCCATTCCATGGCCTAGTGTCACGGGATGACTCTTTAAGCCTTCCGCCCGTGCGGCACTTAGACTTGAATACCTCGATGAACAAGCTAAGTAAGCCTTCGAAGCCTCGCTTCCCCGGATCGAATCACAAAGAAAGCTAAGATAGCTTGGAGAATGCTAAAATCACTTAGAAGATGGGAGAAAGGAAGCTTTGTATTGAAAGTTAAGAGAACTTTACAATTGCTTACAATTCTTGGATGGCTTGGCCAAATGGCCTTGCCTCCTATTTATAGGCCTAAGTCACCTCCTCAATGGAGGGTTCTAGAATCCCCTACTTACATCCAAAAATATCTAGCATAGTTCTAGATACAACTTGCCTAATCTAGATTATTCTAGGTGAGGCTTAAATATGTACACTTGTGTGGAATGTTCCGGAATGCCCTAGATTATCTTGAATGCTCCGCCACGTTCTTGATTTCTCCGGGACGTTCCAGAAGCTTCCATGAAGACATGGCTTCATGGGCTTAGATATATGATGTCTTGGGCATTTTCTTTGTTTTTAACATGCGGCCCGTGACATCCTCCCCCACTTAAGCCGTCGACGTCCTCGTCGACTCTTGCCTCTCGAATGTCTGAATCAAGTCCTTATATTGCCATAAGGACGTCTCCTTCTCCCAGGTTGCTTCGGAGTATGGTAGCCCCTTCCATTTGACAAAGTACTCCACATGATTTGGTTGTCTTGGTCGCACCACGACACGCTTGGCTTCAATGCTCTCCACTTCTTTGTCAAATGCCTCCGTCATCAAAGGGGGTGCTCGATGAGACTCACCTCGACTTGGTTCTTCATCGTCCACATGATAAGGCTTCAAGTTGCTCACATGGAACACCGGGTGAAACTTGAGGCGGGGTGGGAGTTCCACAACATACGCGGCTTTGCCAACCTTCTTGATGATAGGGAATGGTCCCTCATATTTCCGCAACAAGCTCTTGTGCAAGCCACGAGTACTCTTGTGCTGAGACGCATTGAGCTTCACAAAGACTTGGTCGCCAGTTTGGAACTCCACATTCCTTCGCTTGCGATCCGCCCATTTCTTCATCTTCTTTGAAGCCTTCTCCAAATGAGCTCGAGCAAGTTCGTGGGCTAATTGCCACTCCTTAGCGGTTTTGAAAGCGGCTGGACTATTCCCCGTGTAGCCAGTCACGACCGTGTTCGGGGTCAAGGGTTGTTGCCCTATAGCTAACTCAAACGGACTTTTCCCCGTCGACTCCGAACGTTGCAAGTTATAAGAGAATTGGGCAACATCAAGTAACTTAGCCCAATCTCGTTGATTGGCACTAACATAGTGCCGCAAATAAGTCTCCAACAATGCATTAACCCGCTCCGTTTGTCCATCAGTTTGGGGATGAAAAGCTGTGGAGAAGTCTAACTTCGAGCCAAGTAGTTTGAAGAGCTCCTTCCAAAATCTACCCGTGAAGCGAGCATCTCGATCACTGACTATGCTCCTCGGAACACCCCAATACTTCACCACGTGCTTTAGAAACAAGCGTGCAGCTACTTCGGCTGTGCACTCCACAGGTGTGGGTATGAAAGTGGCATACTTGGTGAATCTATCGACCACGACGAGGATAGATCCACATCCATCAGACTTGGGCAAATGTGTGATGAAATCCATGGTCAAACACTCCCATGGTCTTGATGGGGTGGGAAGTGGTTTCAACAGTCCTCTCGGTTGCCTCTGTTCCACTTTGTCTTGTTGGCACACAAGACAAGTCTTCACGTATGAATCTACATCATCCCGCATTTGTGGCCAATAATAAGCATCGCTCACCAAAGCCAACGTGCGGTGAGTGCCAGGATGTCCTGCCCACATTGAGTCATGGCACTCCTTAAGGATTTCTTTCCTTAAGCTTCCCCACTTTGGGATGTAGATCCGCTTGCCCTTGGTGTATAGCAAGTCGTCCTCAAGCCAAAACCTTCTTGTCTTCCCATCCTTGACAAACTCCACAATGTTCTTGGCTTGGACGTCATGTGATAAACCTTCTCGGACACGGCCCAAGAGATGGCTTTGCGGCTTGAGTACCGTAGCCATTAACTCTACTCGTCTACTTAGAGCATCGGCCACCACGTTCTCCTTTCCTTGCTTGTACTCTAGCTTGTAATCAAACTCCGCTAAGAACTCTTGCCACCTTGCTTGCTTAGGTGTGAGCTTTTGTTGGGTTTGAAAGTAGCTAGTGGCAACGTTGTCCGTCTTGATGATGAATGGGGTACCAAGCAAGTAATGCCTCCAAACTCTAAGGCAATGGACGATGGCGGTCATCTCCTTTTCATGGGTCGTGTACCTTTTCTCGGCATTGTTTAGCTTGCGACTTTCATAGGCTATTGGATGTCCCTCTTGCATCAACACTCCTCCTCCTATGGCAAAGTCGGAAGCATCAGTGTGCAACTCGAATGACTTACTAAGGTCGGGCAACCTTAGTACAGGCTCCTCCATTAGGGCCTTCTTCAACCTCTCAAAGGCCTCTTGACACCGGTCCGTCCATTCCCATGCCTTGTTCTTCTTAAGAAGGTCTGTTAAGGGTGCTGCTATGGCTGAATACCCTTTAATGAATCTTCGATAGTAGTTGGCTAGCCCCAGAAAGGATCGTAGTGTTGGTACCTTGGTCGGCGGTTCCCACTCTTGAATGGCCTTGATCTTGCCCTTTTCCATCATAAGTTTCCCCTCCTTTATCTTGTGGCCAAGAAATTCTACTTCTTTTGTGGCAAAGGAGCATTTCTCCTTCTTGACATAGAGTTCATGCTCCCGAAGGGTCTTGAACACTATGCGCAAGTGCTTGACGTGCTCCTCCAATGTCTTGCTATAGACAACGATATCATCAATGTAAACCACGACAAACTTGTCAAGATAAGGATGGAATACCTTGTTCATCAATGTGCAGAATGTTGCGGGGGCATTGGTCAGACCAAATGGCATGACTTTATACTCGAACGATCCATATCTGGTCACCATCGCCGTCTTCGATTCGTCTCCAGGGGCTATCCTCACTTGGTAGTATCCCGATCGAAGATCTAACTTTGTGAAGTACCTTGCTCCACCAAGTTGATCGAATAAGTCGGCGATCAACGGAAGTGGGTACTTGTTCTTGATGGTAATCTTGTTCAATGCTCTATAGTCGATTCACAACCTTAGGCTACCTTCTTTCTTGCGTTGGAACAAGATGGGTGCACCATATGGGGACTTGGAGGGTTGGATGTAGCCAGCATCAAGTAGCTCGTTGAGTTGCTTCCTCAATTCCTCCAACTCGGGTGGCGACATCCTATAAGGTGATTTGGAGGGAGGCTTAGCACCAGGCTCCAACTCAATCGCATGGTCGACCTCTCTCCTTGGTGGCAACTTCTTTGGAAGTTCCTTAGGCATCACGTCCGCAAACTCCACAAGGACGTCTTCCACTTGTTTCGGCAAAGGCCCGTGATTCTCCTCCCCTTCATTCAACATTAGGGTTGCAAGAAATGTGGCCTCGCCTTTCTTCCAAGACTTGGCAAATTGAATTGCCGACAAGTGTTGGGTACACTTCTTGGCTTGCCTTTCCAATGGCACCAGGCAAGGTTGTCTTCCGTCGGCTAGGATACAGAAGATATTATAGAAGGGAATGGGAAAGGCTCGTACCTTGTCCATGAACTCTAACCCAATGACTACGCCATAGTCGTCCATCTTGACTACGGTGAAGTCGATCGTTCCCTTCCATGTGCCAATGTCTACGTGCACATTACGCGCAACTCCAACAATGGGGGTGGCAGCGGAATTTACCGTCTTCACGCTACCAGGCTCATTTGTGACTCGGAGGCCAAGCCTTATGGCTTCCTCCGACGTCATGAAGTTGTGTGTTGCTCCCGTGTCCACCAACACGCGCGTCGTCTTGTCACCAGTCTTGACGTCGACGAACAATGATCCTCCCCCAACTTGAGCCTTAGGTTGTGGGAGGGTTGTCTGGATGGCATTCAGTAGACGGATGCATCCCATCGTTGCATCGTTACTCTCCTCGGCCTTGTCCTCCTTGAAGGCCATGGCCTTAAGGGCCTTCTTTTGTGGGCAATCTCGCATCATGTGAGGGCCGTCGCATAGGTAACAAGTGGGTTGCCAAGACTTACCTTTGCCTTTGTCATGCTTATCGGCTTTCTTCTCCTTCGGTTTGCTTGTCTCGGCCTTGTCCTTCGGCTTATGCTCTCCCCCACTTCTCTCATGGTTACCCCTCTTCCCCGTGGACTTGGAATCACCTTGGTGGCTTGATTTAAACTCAATCAAGGATTCGGCAGCGGCAATGGCATCAGACAATGTTTGCACGTGTCTCCTTTGTAGTTCGAGCTTTGCCCAATTTTGTAGTCCACTCATGAAGTACATGAGCTTGTCTTCCTCTAACATGTTGGGCACCTCGAATAACAAGCTCACGAAGGTGTTGACATAGTCTTTGACACTCCCCGTTTGCTTGAGCCCTCTTAGTTTCTCCTTGGCTTCGTACTTGGCATTTTGGGGATAAAAGTGCAACATAAGATCTTTCTTAAATTCATCCCAAGTGGTGAGAGAGAACGTACCTTGCTCAATCTCCATGCTCCGACGACGCCACCACATAAGGGCATTGTCAGCTAAGAACATGGTTGCTGTTGAGATTTTGGACTCGTCGTCTTCAAGCTTCAGGTACTTGAAGTATCGTTCCACGTTCCACACGAATGTGTCGAGCTCCTTTGCCTCCCTCTTCCCATTATAGGATTTGGGTTTAAAGGAGTCGATTACCTTGGAGTCCAACGCCTTGATTTCCCTCGACCCTTGCACGAATTGCTTCACGACTGCTTCTTTACAAAACGCCACATCTCCCTTAAGTTCCCTTGTGTCCTTTATCTCTTCCTGAAGCGCCACAAACCTTGCCTCTATGTTGTCAAGGTGAACCTGGACTTCCCTCCGCATCTTGTCTGCCATGGTGTTGAGGGCGCCAAGGAGCTCATCTCGTAGCCCTTCCACCAAGCCACGCAATTCATCCTTACCATTGTCCACCATGGTTTGGATTTCCTCCTTGTCGACAACGTCCTCATCAAGTCGAGTATCGAACTCGAGTATGGTTCGTTCCACCTTCTCGAGTCGCTCTTCCATGGTCTCCATCGATGCTTGCAAGTCCTTTAACTTTGGCTTGCTCTTGGCAACGTCTTGGACCTCGGCAGTACGCTCCCTTAGGTCGGAGACTCCGGACACCATCTCTCCACTTGCCATATCCTACTTTCCTTCAAGTGATTCACGAGCTTGGCTCTGATACCAGCTGTCACAGGATGACTCTTTAAGCCTTCCGCCCGTGCGGCACTTAGACTTGAATACCTCGATGAACAAGCTAAGTAAGCCTTCGAAGCCTCGCTTCCCCGGATCGAATCACAAAGAAAGCTAAGATAGCTTGGAGAATGCTAAAATCACTTAGAAGATGGGAGAAAGGAAGCTTTGTATTGAAAGTTAAGAGAACTTTACAATTGCTTACAATTCTTGGATGGCTTGGCCAAATGGCCTTGCCTCCTATTTATAGGCCTAAGTCACCTCCTCAATGGAGGGTTCTAGAATCCCCTACTTACATCCAAAAATATCTAGCATAGTTCTAGATACAACTTGCCTAATCTAGATTATTCTAGGTGAGGCTTAAATATGTACACTTGTGTGGAATGTTCCGGAATGCCCTAGATTATCTTGAATGCTCCGCCACGTTCTTGATTTCTCCGGGACGTTCCAGAAGCTTCCATGAAGACATGGCTTCATGGGCTTAGATATATGATGTCTTGGGCATTTTCTTTGTTTTTAACATGCGGCCCGTGACACTAGGAATTGGCCCCCTCTAATTGTGAGGGTGATGAGTCCTTTTATTGAATAAGGGCTCCTCACTTATTACATATTTGCCTCTTCCTTTATTACATAATTACATTTAAGTCCCCCAAGTATTTGTACGAGATCTAAATACGGAGGCCCTAAATATGGTATAAACAGTAGTCCCCCAAGTCTTCAGTCAAGATAGTCTTTTGGCTGAATACTTGAAATTCAGTCCATATGTGGGCCGAAGTAACTAGATGTTGTCTTGAACTGATGCTCGATATGAGGCGGTGCTCAATCTGAAATGATGGTCAACTAGAAGTAGCACATGCTGCAAGGTTGCTCGGCTCGTGGCTTATGTTGCCTTGGTTGGCTCAGCTTGTGACGTTGAAGGTGAGGGAGTCCCTTTTATAGAATAATGGCTTGCTCCTCAATACATGAATGATGGGCTAGAGTTGATGATCTCTAATGATGGTGAGAGACTCCCTTTTATAGAATAAGGGCTTGTTCCTCAATACATGAATGATGGGCTAGAGTCCCCCAAGTATTTTTCATGAGGCCCAATATATGGTACATAATGTAGTCCCCCAAGTCTGCGGTCAATAGGGTCTGTTGGCTGGAGACTTCAAATTGAATCCATGTATGGGCCAAAGTGACGGTTGTTCGGAGGCGGTATTTGAATACCCTACACTGAAGCTTTGTAAGTGAAGCTTTGCAAGTGAAGCTTTGAAGCTAGAGCTCTGTAAATGAAACTTTCAAAGCTGGAGCTTTTATAAATGAAGCTTTTGAAGCTAGAGCTCTGTAAATGAAGCTTTTGAAGCTGGAGCTTTTGTAAATGAAGCTTTTGAAGCTAGAGTTCTGTAAATGAAGCTTTTGAAGCTAGAGCTTTTGTAAATGAAGCTTTTGAAGCTAATTGACATGAGTGATGCTCATGAATGTTTATGTTGATTGACATGAGTGATGCTCATGGATGTTGTCATGAGTGATGCTCATGAATGTTGACATGAGTGATGTTCATGAATGTTTATGTATGATTGATATGAGTGATGCTCATGAATGTTTATGTATGATTGACATGAGTAGTGCTCATGTATAATTTAGAAACACTGGGCATACTTTTGATCACCTGGTTTGTGGTAATAGCGGCAGGTTGCCGAATAATTTTAGAGTACTGGGCGTAGTTTTGATCACCTGGTTGGTGGTAATAGCGATAGGTTGCCGAATAATTGTGGAGTACTAGGCGTACTTTTGATCACCTGGTTGGTGGTAATAGTGGCAGGTTATCGAACAATTGTGGAGTACTGGGCGTACTTTTGATCGCCTGGTTGGAGCTATTTTGGGCTTATGGGCCTTCGCCCTCTACACAACATTCCAGCCCATTTATTGGGCTTTGCTGTTTTTTTTTTTTTTTGTTACCCTCTGATGGGGTTTATACAGATGTCTCCGAAAGATAAGGAAAATAAATTACATCATACATCTGCCAAGAAAAGTAAATCACATCATTCTAATGGGGTGTTTATTCCCTGCTTTTGCAGTGTGGGTGTTTATTCATTGTTTTGCTTTTGTTTCCCACAGCTCACTTGATTGTTTTTGCCTTTCCTCTGCACCTTTGTTGCTTTTGTTTTTGTTTCCCATGTGCTCTTCTCGCTCTTTTTTTCATTTTTCTGTGGGCAAGACTTTCCCTCTTTTCAAGGTTCACTCCACATGGTGGGTAAGAAAATGCATGACCCATGTGCTCTCCTCGCTCCTTCTCTGATTTTTCTGTCAACAGGACTTTCCATTTTTTCAAGGTTCACTCCACATGGTGGGTAAGAAAGTGCATGACCCAAATCTGACTCCCTATCTCCAACCGTGACTCAATCTGCATTGTGGAACCGACAGGTCAGGTGCTGGTGCGGCTCAACCCGCTCAAGCCATCTCCGAAAGTAGGGCTCGGTGGGTTCTGGACCATCCCGAAAGCTTGACTGGGATCAGAGACTGGGAACGACTGGGCAGTGAAGGTGGCAGCCATGAACTGGATCTGACCCACTTCGGTCTTGCCGGCGGGTATAAACATGAACCTGACTTGGCTGCCGGAGTAGATAAGCTGGAGAGTGCTGTCGCAGTGGCTGAAAGCGACGCGATCTGGGTTGTTGACTAAGAGACTTGGTTACACAGATTAATCGTCGTCATACGAAACATAGAAACTGGTAGTGCAACCATATGCCTCAGGATCATCAGCCCCACAACAGTCGTAGAACTTAGCAGCGTATGGCGGATCGTTGGGTCCCAATTCATAGTACCTTTTTTGGTCGTCGTGAAGGCGACAGACGAAGAAAGAAGGGTGGAAGCGGCATAAGAAAAAGGTGTTAGAAGAGGCTCTGTAGCTTTCCTTGCACCTTTTGCATACCTTTCCCTTATCCTCCTCACTCCCACTTTTTTTTTTCATCTCTTTATTCTTTAGATACGGTGGCAAAGAAAATTGCAATTGACTCTAATGATGGATTCATCGGTGAAGTGCGCTGGGATGCTAGATGTTGATCACCTTGAACATGGGCCTCCGTATTTGAACATGGGCCTCTGTCTGTCGGTTCACTTGTAGGTTAGAGAGAGAAAGAGTCTAGAGAGAGATTGGTAGCTCCTGCCTGACATGGTAGCTCCTGCTCAACTCTTGGAGGTTGGTAGCTCCTGCCTGACACTTGTACCGCATCAAAACCATTGATGAGAACACCAGCAACAGTTTCAATCTTAGTGGTGGCTTCATGATTTGGTTCTCTGATCTGATGTTTTGGATTTGGCTGTCATCTTTGTTCGGGATCTTGGGTTATAGATAATGTGCAAATATCTTGCTCTTCTACAAGTTTGTGGTTGAGAATGGGATACGTACTGCATGGTTCTTGAGTTTCTACAGATTCACGGCGGAGGTGAAAAAATGAAAGAGAACCGACATAACTTTTCGTATCGATTCCCACAGACGCGCCAAATGTTGATGCACAAAACCGGAGGTCTTGGAACAACGTAAATCCAACCGTGAATCTGCAAGTAATGTAAATAACACAAGATGTATCGTGGTTCACTCCAATGTTTGGGCTACATCCACATTGATTATTGTATTTATGTGAGAGGTGAGGGAGAGAGATAGAGATAGCTTCTGAGGGTGAGAGAGCCCTTCCATGGCCTAGGAATTGGCCTCCCCTAATTATGAGGGTGAGGAGTCCTTTTATAGAATAAGGGATCCTCACTTATTACATATTTGTCTCTTCCTTTATTACATAATTACATTTAAGTCCCCTGAGTATTTGTACGAGATCTAAATACGGAGGCCCTAAATATGGTATAAACAAAGTGCAACTTTAAAAATGAATGGTTCGGAGCGTTGAAGTTCAATGTGTTGTGAACCCCACAACTAATCCCTATTTTTTTTTCAAAAAATGGAATCCCTTCCCCCTTAAAGAATCTGTATATATATTTATGTTAATTTGGTATACAGTATAACGTGAATGGAGATCATCTTTGAATCTCGCAGTCCGAAACCAAGGAATCGAGAAATTTAGACCACTCATTTTAAATCTGACGGCCTCATTAGCCAATATCAATGACCCACCTCACATAAAACAAAAGTCCAGATCACTATCTCTTGGACCGTCCGGAATTCTCGTTCCGTCGGCTACTTCCTTATTCTTTTAATGTCGCCATTGAGCTTGGATAAACATTAACATTTTGCCTACTCACACATATGCTGTCTTCCTTATTCTTATCCTTATGCTTTTCCCTGGAATCAAATATCACTGACCTCAAAAAAAAATGCATGGCTGTCAATATCAACCATGTAATACAAAAGAAAATTTGTTTGATTCGTGGAAAGTGCACACCACTTGTTATTAAACTTCACCGAAACTTCCCAATGTCCCGGTAGGTCTAGTTTGCAAGAAGAGACTTGTTCTGTTTTGCTTGTTGAATTTCTCTGCAGCTTTTACCTGTTGAAGTCTCTTAGTTACTTAACCGTTGATGCTAACATTATTATATATATATAGTGTGTTGCTTGTAGTTGTGTATAAAACTGCAGGATTGAGCTCTCAATGGACTTACTTGGCTGGATGCAACTAGCCAAGTGACTTGCATTGATGCAGCCAATGTCTTTATGAAATCCATGCAATTTCAGAGTGAATTAAAAACGATCCATACTTATGGCAGAGAGTTCTGTATGTTTTGTGCTGGAGAAGCTTGCATCCATTTTCGAAAAAGAGGTGAACCTGTTCCGAGGGGTTAGAGAAGAAGCTGTCTATCTGAGAGGGGAGTTGGAAAGGATGAAGGCCTTTCTCAGGACCGCAGACGTGCTGCAGGAAACTGACGAGGAGCTCAAAGTGTGGGTTAGGCAAGTGAGAGACATTGCTCATGAAGCTGAGGACGTTCTAGACGAATTCGCTCTTCTGCAAGAGCATGATCATGATCGTGATCATGGATATGGAATTTATGGCTCTCTCCGCAGGTTGGGTTGCTGTATTAAGAATGCCAAAGCTAGTTATCGGATTGGTTCCGAGTTACAAGCCATCAACTCAAGAGTCAAAGAGATTGGTGAGGTTCACAGGAGACTTTGTCACAAGTTCAACAAGGCTGATGACAGTGCAGGAAATACATGGCAAGATCGTCGAGGAGATGCCCTTCTTTTGGACAAGTATGATCTTGTTGGCCTTGACGAGCCCAAAAGTCAACTGGTGGGGTGGCTTTTTAAGGGCAGCTCTGGCCGTGAAGTAGTTTCGGTGGCTGGAATGGGAGGAATGGGGAAGACCACCTTGGCCAAGCAAGTCTATGATGATCCAGAAGTCAAGAAACATTTCAAAGTGCGTGCGTGGATCACAGTTAACCGGTCATTCAAATTTGGCGACCTACTCAGAGACATGGTTCAACAACTTTTCAAAGCAATCAGAAGACAAGTTCCACAGATGGTGGCGAACATGAACAACAACCAGCTCAAGACAACAATTAAGGAGTTGCTGCAGAAACGGAGGTACCTGATTGTTTTGGATGATGTATGGAACCTGAGTGAATGGAATGCTATCAAATATGCACTGCCGAACAATGATTGCGGCAGCCGAATTATGCTCACTACGAGAAAATCAGATGTAGCCACTACCGCTGCAGGTGTACTATCTGAAGGTAAGGCCTATGACTTAAAGCCCTTGCCTCCTTCCGAGTCTTGGGATCTCTTCTGCAGAAGGGCGTTTCAACATAACAAATGCCCTCCTCATTTGGAGGAAATTTGTAACTACATCTTAAGAAAATGCGAGGGACTTCCCCTTGCAATTGTCGCAATCAGTGGTGTGTTGGCAACTAAAGATACACGTAGACTTGACGAGTGGGATGTGGTTGCACGCAGCCTGGGGGCTGAAATTGAGGGCAACGACAAGCTCAATGATTTAAAGAAAGTTCTTTCCCTCAGCTTCAATGATTTGCCGTACTTCCTCAAGTCCTGCTTCTTGTACCTGAGCATATTTCCTGAGGACCATCTAATCGAGCGCATGAGACTGATCCGGTTATGGGTGGCAGAGGGATTCATAGAAGCAAAGGAGGGGAAAACACTGGAAGAGGTAGGAGAGGACTATCTCCAGGAACTCTTGAACAGAAGCCTAATGCAAGTGGCAACTACTACACCTGATGGAAGGGTAAAAACATGTCGAATCCATGACCTTTTGCGAGAGATCATCATCTCCAAGTCAAGAGATCAGAACTTCACCACAATCCTGAAAGAACAAAGCTTGCAATGGTCTGAGAGGGTTCGACGCCTATCGATACATGGCACACTACAAAATGTTCAGCCAAACAGGTCAGTGTCCCAACTGCGTTCCCTGTTCATGTTCGGTGTCACTGAACAGCCATCCATCCCTAGATTATTCCCAAGCGGCTTCAGGCTGCTAAATGTGTTAGACTTTCAAAACTCACCTTTGGAGAAATTTCCAGTTGAAGTGGTGGACTTGTATTATTTGAAATATCTAAGCTTGCGGGAAACAAAGGTGGAAACTGTTCCGAGATCTATTGGGAAGCTTAAGAATCTAGAAACTCTAGACCTTAAGCATTCCAAAGTCAAACAACTTCCTGTTGAGATATTGAAGCTCCATCGGCTGCGCCATCTTCTGGTATATCTACATGAGTTTGAATCTTACGAACATTTTCATTCAAAGAACGGCTTTAAGGTCATGCCAAATATTGGGGTTCTGCAAGCACTACAGAAGCTTTGTTTCGTAGAGGTAAACCAAGATGGCCGAACCATAATAAGGGAGCTTGGCAAGCTAAATCAACTGAGGAGGTTAGGCCTCTTAAAATTGAGAAAAGAAGATGGCGAGGCCCTGTGTTCGTCTATCGAAAAGCTAACGAATCTTTGTGCCCTGTCTATAGCTTCAGTCAAAGAAGACGAGATCATTGATCTTCAACACCTATCTTCTCCTCCTTTGTTTCTTCAGCGGCTGTACATGAGAGGACGTTTGGACGCATTGCCCTATTGGATTCCTATGCTCCCCAGCCTAGTCAGATTGTCTCTTAAGTGGAGTAGGTTAAAGGATGATCCACTCATCTATCTCCAACACATTCCTAATCTTGTTCAACTTGAATTAATTCAAGCATTCGTTGGAGACAGATTGTGCTTCAGAGCTTATGGGTTTGGGAAGCTCAAGATTCTAACCCTGGACAAACTTGATGAACTGAGATGCATAGAAGTGGAGAAGGGTGCAATGGCTTGTCTTGAGAAGCTAACCATTCAACGGTGTAAGCTCCTGGAGAATGTGCCTTCGGGTATTGAGCATCTGACAGAGTTGAAAGTTCTCGAGTTTTCTAATATGCCGGTGGATTTGATGAAGACAATTTGCACAGATGGAAAAGATAATTCCAAAGTCTTGCACATCCCGGAACTTTATTCAACATACTGGAGAGAAGGGGGGTGGGAAGTCTACTCCATAGAGAGCATGATGGATGGGGAGTACTGTCCCATGCCCAGCAACCCCTTTAGCGATGAGCTTCAAACTCGTTGGAAGTCATGGAAGTAATACTTACTCATGCTGCTGGGACTGGGGAACGAGGCCTGTAGTACCAATGTATATACTTGTATATATAATACATGTAAATGAATACGTAATGTGATGCAGTTGGATCAGATAGATTACCTTCGGGTTGAGGTAATCCGTAATGCCAGGGGCATTCGTGTACAGAATAACTTGGACTACGTTTATAGTAGTGGTCTGTAATGTATAGCATCTGTTGTAAAATGAAGGTTATATTTACCATGTGTATACCTACTTCCATTTGTCTTTCTGCTATTTTATTGGAGACTTTTTGATGTGTTGCAAGTCTGCCCGCTACAACATCATCAACCCGCTGTACGGATGCCTTCCTGGGAACTGTGAGATAATGTGTATGTTGCCGCACCCGATGTCCAGCGCTTTGGGAGGTTAGGGTTGGACGTATGAGATGCTCAAGCTCTTCTTATGACAACACAACCGGTGGGGAAATTTATACTTCATTTTCCGGTAATGTTTTCGATCTGAAGCGAGTAACCGGATCCTAGGATGAAATGGCTGCATGCAGCATTGCAGTTCAGTTCCGGAACGCAAGGATTCATATTGTTTCTACGCTCTTAGCAGTGTGTGCCGTAATAAAGAGACCAGTTTGGTTTGAAGTTTTACAACCAAAGATTTACAGTCCGTTTCCGGTTATGTCGCCAAGAATTAAACGAAACTCTGTTGAAAAGATGAATGTATATTCAAAAAGTCGAGAAGACAAAGATAGTTTCAAAACATATCATAAGAACATTAGCAAAAGATGCTAATCAGTAGAAGCTGCTTTTCTCTCTCTATATTTTGAGCAAGAATTTGATCATTACAAGGTAAATGTGGAATCATATTTATCATCCACTGAGACCTGTCAAAAATTTCCAGCTGAAAAACTAGCGCCCGCATGTCGAAATACATTTCCAGCTGGGGGGTTGAGCGCTGCCACCGGAATTTGCACTGCACAGCTGATGACGACTGCTTGCGTGTCTAATGTTGAAACATACAAACAGTCGTAAAAACAACGCTGATACATACAAATATACAAAAATTTGAGCCAAAAGGGTGCAATGTTTTTTTTTTACTGTATGTTATCTCCTAAATATATGAACACCCTTTTCTTAAATGCTCGAGCTAAGTCTACAATTTCAGACTCCCGCATCTGCCTTGTCATGCCATCAAACTTCTCACATATTTGGTCTTTTCGGGACAATTGGTTTGCAACATCAACAGTCAAGCTGGCCATGTCTCTGCTGTTTGTTAATAAACCCAAGACAGTGGCAGAATATGATGGGTTTGAAACCAGCCTGTTAAGTAGTATAAGAGCCTCCCTCAACAGCAAGGTCCTGCATAACATTACTCTCACAATATGAGCAATAATTAAGAGATCGAACGGTGATTTTCGTCATGCAGATATACAGACATGAATGTATTCCAGAGATATCACATGCATTCCTTGCAAGATCTGAAAACTAGGAACCATATGCTTTTTGTTTTTGAACACACCAACTGAACTACATCAAGTTAATACTACCAATGACAACAATATAACAAGTAATGTGAACTCATTTTAATGTCCGTATAGAGGAAAAAGAGAAATCAGAAACGGAGGACAGAAGAGGTGGGTGAAATTTGAATTACCGGAACCAATACCACCAAGTTACTATGAGATATTTAGTGGCACTTGCAATAAAAATTACACAACAATAGAATTTGGAAACTTAATGTTCAGTAATGAATGTGTGATACTTGCATCGATCAGAATTAAAAATCCAGGGGCATCAGCAATTACCTCTCTTTGAAATTCTGTGCTTGATCAGCATTAACTGCTGGTTCTGTATCTACCTCCGATGCCAAAACTTGTAAAATCAACATCAGAAAGTTTGCATCTCGAAAGAGCTTGTGACTCACAAGTATTTCGAAGCCAGATGTTCCAGACGAGGCTAGGAAAGCCAGTAAAAGAACAGCAATTCTGCGAAGTTTCAGTTCCTGAGTGTACAATAATAGGAAAGCAGTTGATATTTGGTAATGTATATCATCAAACATAAACCCTTAACTCTGCTCGGAGGTTTATGAGATGGGAGTTACCCATCTCCACCTACTATTGTGCAACTACGCATAAATACGTTTTCTTCCATAGAACGCCAGATCAATCTACGCATTAATATATCTACAAGCAGGGCAATAAATAAATAATAAACTTCAAGGAAAGTGTAGAGCTGAAAAGGAGAGAAAAGTAGAGAGAATGCCTACCTCTAAACTGTTCCCACAGCAAGCTATACAATCTGCCAATCCTTGAAGGATCATGCTACATTTTTGGTAACCTGATGCATCGCCTACATTATCATCCATAGCAAGGGCAGCTTTTCCCTCTTTATAATCAGAACAGAACTTGACCAGTATTTTAGGACCTTCACATCAGCAAGGAACAAGAAGTTTTTCAGGGCTTAAGACAGGCATGAAAGAACAAGTTCAATAAGAATCAAGATAGCATATGCCAAACTCTAGCAGTCCTCAAACAAGCTGATTTCAGCTGAGTGGTAAGCTGCTTAAGGTAGCGCTAATGAGATAATTTTCAGGCTTCCCACAACTGAAATAATCAGGCACGAAAAAGAAAAGGCAACAAGTTACACATAAAAAAACCTACAGAGTAAGGTTTCAAGGTTGCAAAATGTTTTGAAAGTATATACTACACACTCTACAGTTTGAGAATAAATATATTTACTAGCAGAAAAGGTTTCGAGTATAAAAGAGGCTTTTTGAAAGCTATTGTGAAGGGATGGAAAAATTATGAGGCAACGTCAGATTTTGGTCAGCAATATGGCCATTGGTTTCTTCTGAGAACAAGAGTTAGCATTCTTTTCTACCCGAGCTGATTGGAAAGCTACAGTAGTTCAAAAGCCTTAAATGTTACCATTATAGTTTGGTTATTTGGCTCCCATTTTTCCCTTCAGATGCTTTATTACATTATGAGGTGGCTAACTTCTCCACTGTGATAGTACTCTGTTTCTCTACCAATAAAACAATGTTTCTTACAAAAACAAGAAAAATTCAATTAAACTACAAGTAGTTCGCCTAAGCTTCATGCAATTATAACACTACAAGTAAAAGAAAACAAAATAAAAAATGAACTAAAGTGATGTGGACTTACAATTAAGTAGCATATATAGAAGTTGCACAGCTTGTTTTCGGGCCTCAAAACCAGCTTCCTTTGCAAGCAACTGCGAAAGAATTTCAAACACCAATGTTTGGCCAAACCTGTCTCTCACCGGACTTACACTCAGAAAAAGAGAAAAAGTAACAGCATAAAAGTTTAACAAAAAAGGAACACTGCATTCTTACTTTTCTCTCTCCACAAAGGCATTACTTCTCATTATAATCATATTCATAACAGAGACTGCTTCTAGCCTTACACCTTGGTTTGTATTCTTCATGGTAGTTTGTAGGATCACCTCAAAGAGAGAAATCCAGTCTATATTAGAAAACCAAGTTGCAATGCCATTATTCCAAACTCCATTCTTGCTTTGAGTTTCGGCATAAGAATATTTCATTCCAAGTCCCTCGACCATAACATTGACCCTGAGTAGAGTGCACTGGAAAGATCAAATCGAACAGGAATGAAGCATATGCAAAAACATGTATTCCTAACTCCTGCAAAATAAAACCGGATATAGAAACAGAATAGGAAACAGCATATGACATATACCTTCTCTCGAAATGCCTTTCCAGCCTTACCAGGTGCTTCAAAAACACAAGCAGTATATGTAGAGATGCCTGAACAATGATAACCTATGCCAAAAAAGAACTGATTCACCAAAAAGGCAACAAGAACCAAACTGAAAGAGATTAAGGAAATAATTACAATACTGAACTTAAGCAACGTCATTAAATAATGGCAAACAAGTAGATTAAAGTATTCTCTTTATAATCGACTAGCCTCCTGTGTATTAAAAATAAACCAGTCACAACAATGTCACTAACACCAATACATCCAAAACTCTCTACACCTATATTTTTTAAAACCATGGACCTATCACCTCCCAGCACTCAACTAGAGACTTTTAATATTAGTGAGTCAATATTAGTACCAAAGATCCAAAGACGGATCAAGACAAGAGTATCCACCAGTATTTAAAAGACAATTACATATATCCAACTGAATTGAAGTTCCAAGACAATCTAATCCTAATCTGCAGGCCAGGTTGCACACAAAAGTGTAATGAATTTTCTAGAAGATGCCTCCTATAGGAAGTAAACACAAAATTATATCCTCCCACATCTCAGAAAAATAAAATAAAATTGCATTAGTGTCCTTATAAGAGGTCGCACTTGGTGCGATGGCAAGTGCCTTCGCCCATGAGCAGTCGGTCTCGGGTTCGAGACTTGGGAGCAGCCTCTCCATAAATGGGGGTAAGGTTAGCCGACATTCACCTCTCCCAGACCCTGCGTAAAGCGGGAGCCTTGTGCACTGGGTACGACCTTTTTATTAGTGTCCTTATAAAAGAACATGTGATCCCAATTCATAGAGTAAATTTTAAAATCACTAGTACAGTACTCTAGAGCAACGTCTACTCAAAAGTCCATGTGGAAAATACAAATCAAAATGGAACATCTAAGGTATACCAACCGGTGCAAGAAGTCAAATAATATCAATTCACAACTCACATTTTCAAGACTACAGAGGTTGAGTAATGGTTGAAACAAGGACTCCAACTTTAACATTCCATTTTTCGCCTGCAATAAGAACAATCAACAGATATAATATTCATATACCCAGGTTAGCATAAAAAAAGGGATAACATGTCCAGAACACCATATGAATAGATTTTCTAAATTTTATTTATCTAGTATTCTTTAATTCAAGTTCCATGGGCCATGTATCGGTAAAGATTAAAGAAGTCAAAGCTTAATAAAGTATCATACTAAGACCGGGCTGCATAAAAAATACTGCTGAATGCCTAAGCGGTTCTACCATGAGAAACTTGGGCAATAAGACAGTGTCCCTTAGAAAGTTAACTTTTAAATATATACAATTAACAATGATACACAAACTGTACTATTTACTTGGTTTTGAAACAAAAACATGGTGAGTAAACCCTCATATATGTACATCAACCCAAGCCCAACAACATACATACAAAGATGAAATAATCAAAGTCAAGCATTACAATGTAAATGGTCCCAGAACACCAAAACCTATCACAGCTTTATTTATTTATTTTTTTTTTGTAACAAACCCTATCATAACATAACTTATGGCCAGATAGATTGGCATGTTAATTACCTTA